TGGTTACGATATCTTGAGTATTGTGTGGGCGCATGTCGCCAGTTGCTGTTTCGCTGTTTGCATACATGACAAGTTGAATAATCAGAAGTGTGATTTCATACCTGAGATTGATGGTGTTGGCGGCCATGGCCGCATGTAGCTGCGTTCGGACAATTGAATAAATTTTGCAACTTGGGAGAATAACTTCGAGTTTCTGCTGATCTATCTCTCGTCGCTTTGCTTAGCGAGTGTGGTGTGTGAACTTTGCGAGCTTGCATGATTGCCATGTGGGAATCAAGTTGAGTTAGATCATTGCGAATTATGACATACGGAGTGAATCACCAGGTACGGAATCAGGTCGAGTTGAAAGGGTGACAAATGGCCATGTTTGGGAACCATTTCCCTTTTTTTTTTTTTGTTTCTAAAGGGAGCTACATTTAACTTTGTCATTATCCATTCTTTGCGCCTTTTCATTTCTGGAGTTTCTGACTTCGTCACTGAGCAAGGGAAAGCATTTGGACCTAAGACTTTGTGAAGTTTCCAAGGGAGTTTGTCACGATATTTATTCCAGATGCGAGCTGTGTTTACTTTTCTTGTTCACCATTCTTTGCCCTTTTCGGGTCTGTAGTTTCTATCAGAGTTTGTCACAGGGAAGGGAAGAATTTCAACCTCAGGCACACAAGTGAAGTTCCCTGCCATAGAATTCCAATCCAGTGCTGCTATATTTAGGGCCCCCTCCATCATGTGAATTATCTGAACCAACTTTATGTTGTACCTCTGATGCAGGTGCTGAAAAGACCAATCTTTTTGCTGATCTTGGCTTTGTTAGCCCCAGCTACCCGTGCTATAATGTGAGTAATTTCCATCCTTTGGAGTCCTGGTAAGGCGCTTGCATTTCCACAAATTTCCAGCCTGTTCTATTTCCGCATATTTCTAAACAGCCCACCCTTTCTCTTTCTTCATCACGTGGTGGAGCTGTGGGCCTGGGCATCCACCACATACATTCGCTACACACAAAATATCTGCAGCCATCCAACTATGGACCAGAACAGAGTCGGTCAGACAGAATATTATACTTTCAATGAGATGTCGATGTGCTAGTGATAACCGCTTGCTATGCCACAACTGAGTATATTAGCAGTGCCAAGCTCCCACTTACCAGAATTCTCCACTCTCGGCTATTGATTCCAGCAATCTGTGGCTGGAAACAAACATCCTGCGCAAGTTTGACCTCGCCCTGAGATGTGAATGCAGGTTGTGCTATGAATTAGGGTGAAACATAAACATTTTGATCCTATTTCAAGACATTCAAATGGAAAAACATGCCTGCATGGGAATGGTTTACTTGACAGGGAATCCATTGACCTCCTAAAAACTGTGTTAAGGAAGGGAAATAATGGATCTATTGTGCTCTGTGTTGCTTGCTGTAGAGGTAAAGGTGTTTCATTGTTGGATTGGGTCATCTCAGATGTGCTTCATTGTCTGCAATAGAGATAAAGTTGCTTTGATTTTGGATCTACTCATCTCGGTGGAACAGGGGCTGTTGTCGTGAAAATCTAACACAAACACACACACACACACACACACACACACACACACACACACACACACACACACACACAATCAGTTTTAGGTATGTTTGTTTTTCCTCTTTCTCCTATTTTTTCTGAGTGCTTTTTGTGTCTCTAGCCGAGCACCCTCTAGCAGTGCCAAACAGTCGGTGGCTCCTCGTTTGGAGTGCCAACTGCACTCTTAGGGGGGCCACTCGGTTTGGGATGTCTGTGTTGCCTGTTGGTGATGACGGATGGTCGTCGGAGTGTCTCCCTGGCTCAGCGGCGGTGGGAACCAACAGTCTGCGGGGTTCAATCGTGATGTGAGTAGGTCATGTGCTGCTTTGCTCTGTGTTGGATGTGTAGACTGTCTTGTCTGCGCTCTGCTGCTGCCTTGCTACCTGTGCCGCTTGCTTCGCAGGTCGTCCTCGTTGCTCTGCTGCCCTATCGCCTATCCGCGGGCTGTGCCTCCCGTATCTTTTGCTTGCGTGCCTTGTGGTCGGGTGGCCTTGTGGTGGTGCCTCGTGCTTCACTGCACGGTTGCTGAGCTGCTTGTCCGTGTGCCCTGTCGGCCTTCAGTGTCCTTTGCTTGCATGCCTTGTAGTTTGGTTGCCTTGTTGGTGATGCCTTGTGCTTCACTGCACGGTTGCCGAGCTGCTCGTCTGGTTGCCCTGTTGGCCTTCTGCGTCTTTTACTTGCTTGCGTTCCTTGTATTCTGGTCGCCTTGCTGATGTTGCCTTGCGCTTCACCGCACGGTTGCTGAGCTGCTCGTCCGCTTGCCCTGTCGTTCCTTGCAGTCGTCTTTGGTGATAAGCAGTTGGGCTGCCTCTACTGCGTTGCCTGGTGCTCCGCAGGGTTGCTGCCCGCTGCTATGTCCCACTTGGGGACAGTCTGCCTTCAACATGGGTCAAAGGGTTCATGACCCAAACCATCAAATACGGAGATTCCGCAGATTGTCGAGGGTTCAGCCTCCTGATGAGTCGGTGCAACTTCGACGAAACAATCTTGTTATCATCAGTTCTTATTTTTTTCGGTCTTATGATTTTTTTGGGACTCGTATCTTTTCCTGTTTGCCTGTTTGGTGTGCTTGCATGTTGTCTGCCCTACTGCCTGCTTGATGTGCTTATGTGTCGTCTGCCCTTCCACCTCCCCTGTGCCCTCCAGCCTTTGTCCTTCGCTGTTGCTTGTCATCCCATGCCTTATCATGTCATGCCTTTTCATTGCCTGCTTGGTGTCATTGTGTGTCTGTCCTCCCGCCTCCCCCATGCCCTCCATCGTATGTGGGACTTGGGAAACTGGTTGTGGTTAGCAACAGATGTATGAGGTAGCTTCAGGGAAGTAAAGTGGCAGCAGTGGTTTGCCTGTTTGGTTTGTTTGCGTGTGACCTGTCATTTTAAGCTGGCAAGGTAGCATGGATGGGTGACAGTTAAAACGGTGCGTGATGGGCTATGGGCGGACCTGGTGTACCACTGAAAGAGTGGAGTAGCATGGCGGATGCACCGTGAGATCATTTCCGAACACACACACGGAGGGTACCCCGCTCTAGAAACTGCTGATGGGTTGATTCCTACAGCTGCACTTTGGAGCCACTTCAAACCCACGGTCTAGTGCTGTAGTAAGTCCACCCTGTCTTCTATGTGCTTGCCTGGTTACGCTATGAAATGGCCAACTGGACCTGCAGCAAGTCCGCTTACAAAATCTGAATAAAGCTTACCGTTGAAACATGCTGCGTGGCGTACTGACTTCAGATGCGATAAGCTTCGGTTATCGAGCTGCTCTGGTTATCGACATGACTGGTTTCCTGCATCCCATATAGCTTGGATAGGTGTGTATGTGTTGGTTGTCAAGAGTGTGGTGTAGGTGTCTGTCTGCGTGTGTGTGCGGTGTCTATGGGGTGCAGGCCAGAATGGCCTAGTGCCCCTAGGCACTAGTCCATCTGGCCTTCCTTATAGAGGGACAGTGGGCGGGTCACACACACACACACACAATCAGTTTTAGGTATGTTTGTTTTTCCTCTTTCTCCTTTTTTTTCTGGGTGCTTTTTGTGTCTCTAGCCGAGCACCCTCTAGCAGTGCCAAACAGTCAGTGGTTCCTCGTTTGGAGTGCCAAGTGCACTCTTAGGGGGGCCGCTCGGTTCGGGATGTCTCGTTTGGAGTGCCAAGTGCACTCTTAGGGGGGCCGCTCGGTTCGGGATGTCTGTGTTGCCTGTCGGTGATGACGGATGGTCGTCGGAGTGTCTCCCTGGCTCAGCGGTGGTGGGAACCAACAGTCTGCGGGGTTCAATCATGATGTGAGAAGGTCATGTGCTGCTTTGCTCTGTGTTGGATGTGTAGACTGTCTTGTCTGCGCTTTGCCGCTGCCTTGCTGCCCGTGCCGCTTGCTTCGCAGGTCGTCCTCGTTGCTCTGCTGCCCTGCCGCCTATCCGCGGGCTGTGCCTCCCGTGTCTTTTGCTTGCGTGCCTTGTGGTCTGGTGGCCTTGTGGTGGTGCCTCGTGCTTCACTGCACGGTTGCTGTGGCATACTGCGTAGCCACACGGGCCCTGCAGGGCCCGTCCTGGACATTCAGCCTAAAAGCCTAAAACTTAGGGCTTACAGGCCCCGTTCGTTTCAGCCTGAAAGCTGAAAAACGAGGGCCTGCAGGCCCTACCCCG